TCTACCAATAGCAGTAATATCATGGATACACTAGATTTACAACAACATCTGAAAAAGATTCACCCCACTCTAGAAAATAATGTTTATGCTGCCAATAAACTGCCCATGTACACCCACGTACCAACGTATATAATATGCAATTACCTTGTTAATTGTACCACTTCTGACTCAGTGAGCCAGAACTGGTACAACGTAACTACTACTAAACCTTGAAATAGCATACCGTCCGAAGAAATGTTCACTATTCAAACGGCAAGTTAACTTTTTGGGGTTTGTAGTATCGGAAGAAGGTTTCCGCACAGATCCAGAGAAAATCGCCGCTGTCAAGGATTGGCCGGTTCCAAAAGACAAGACGCAGGTTAGAACATTTTTGGATTTGTGTTCCTATTACCGGCGATTTGTGAAGAACTTTGCAGATATAGCCAAACCTCTGCACAAGCTAACATTTCTGCTGGGATGAAAGTTGCGATTTCGCATTCCAAGAGCTCAAGGACCATCTTTGCAAAACACCTATGTTAGTGTACCCCGATGCAAGCAAGGAATTTATAGTTGACGCAGACGCAAGTGATACATGACTCGGCGGTGTGTTGTCTCAACGGAACGGTGATCGAGAGCAAAGAAATTATTGTGTCACAAGACGCGAATTGCTAGCTGTGGTAAAGTCGAAGCATTTTAGCAAATATCTTCTGGGGCGGAAATTTCACCTACGAAAGGACCACGATGCACTAAAATGGCTATTGCAGTTTAAAAATCCAGAAATCCTGGACTTTTGAGAGACTTTGAGATCGAACATCGCAGCGGGAAATCTCATGGCAACGTAGATCATTGTCAAGAAGACCTTGTCCTGAAGATTGTAAACATTGTACCAGGCAAGAGAGTAAGGAAGTGGTATCCGTGAGGATGCTCAGGACACCACCTCAGCAACGAGTGGAAGGACAGCTTACAACATGCACAGCAGGAAGATCCGGACATCAAGCCGATTCTGGAATGGATGAAGGCCAGTTCTGTGCAGTCTCAGCGATGAGTTCGACCACTAAAAGCTATTGGGCCCAATGGGACAGCTTGCTGCTTCAGGATGGAGTTCTGTGCCGTAAATGGGAAAATGTTCGGGGAGACAGCTGTCATTTGCAAATGATTTTCCCTAAAGCTAAAGTACCGGATGTTCTACAGCTGTACCATAATGATTGTTCAGGAGGCCATCTGGGAGTTAAACGAACTCTACTGAAGATCCGAGAACGGTTTTACTGGGTCCACTGTCGAAACGATGTCGAGGACTGGTGTCGCAAATGTACAAGTTGTGCGGCTTTAAAGGGACCTCAGACTCGTAGTAGAGGTGCATTGAAGTTGTACAATGTTGGTGCACCATGGGAGAGAATAGTCATTGACGTGGCGGGGCCGTTTCCGGAGAGTGAAAGCGGTAACAAGTATTTAATGGTTGTGATGGATTACTTTACTAAGTGGCCAGAAGTCTTCGCCATTCCAAATCAAGAAGCTTCAACAGTTGCAGATAAACAAGTTCATGAAGTCTTCTGTCGTTTTGGAGTACCTTTAGAGATTCACAGCGATCAAGGAAGGAATTTTGAGTCTCAGATATTCCAGGAAACTTGCCGAGTTATGGGTACTCATAAAACAAGAACGACTTCTTATCACCCGCAATCTGATAGAATGGTAGAACGATTTAATCAGACATTGGAGAGGTACCTATCAAAAGTTGTAGACAATCGGCAACGAGATTGGGACAAGCACATACAACCAACCGTTTTTATTGTCATATCGAAGCGCTGTTCACGAAAGTAAATCAGTGACACCGGCTTTCGCAAACTTTGGAAGAGAATTACGGCTGCCTGCAGACCTGATCACCGGGATACCACCTGATGCCCCATGCAGTATAACCGATTATGCAAATGAATTGCGGAACAAAACGAATGACATTTATGAGCACGTCAGACATTTATGGGCACATCGAGCCAGCAAATGTCCGAAAAGGTGAAAACCCGGTATGACAGCAAAATGAACAACATAGGGTTCGACGAAGGTTCACTGGTGTGGTTGCACAATCCAGTCCGCAGCAAAGGGAAATCTCCTAAGCTTCAAGCTAAATGGGACGGCCCGTACCGGATTGTGACCAGGATCAACGATGTAACCTACCGGATACAGAAATGCGCAAGAGGGACTCCTAAGATCGTCCATGTGGATCGCCTGGCGCGTTATTATGGGGCCGATGCCTTAGGAGGGGGGCAGTGTTGCGCGCCTAAGTTGACGTCTGGTACCTGGCACTGACGTCATCTAGTGTCGGGGACCAGAGCGAGGAGGGCTTCCTTGAAAATGTCAATCGTGAACTACCACCAACAGCGCCACCTGCGTAAACAGCGTATCCAACAGAAGAATTAAGCTTTCTAGAAGTCCTTTCTAGAATTATCAACAAAATTGTTGATAATCAAATGTGAAGACGGGGGAATTAAAAAATTACAAGTTTCGTAAAAATTGCCAGGGCACCCTAAACTTTTTATGGTTTCATTTTTGCGTGTGCGAGCCAGGTAGATGTTGTCTCTTTCTGGTGGTACAGGCGAAGTTACGACCCGCGGATCAGCTACCTGCTTCTGTTGTTATTAAATTTAGTCGTGATTTGACTCTCTCAAGCTACTTGCGAGTTCTTTTTCGACATTCATTGTTGAATAGTTTCGTTGAGATTAGTTTTTGTTTCGTTCATGGTTAAGTTTTTGTTTGTTAATTGTTTCTGTTTTCGGACGGTAGTGTTCAAACTAATTCAAAACACTGCAGTGATTATGGCTCAACGCACTTATTTTACTAACCAAGAATACGCTGATATGATTTTGGTTTATGGCTGAGCCCTGAATAACGGCCACAGAGCACGTAGACTTTATGGAGAGCTGTATCCCACGAGAAGGTTGCCTAGCCATGGAGGCTACGTGAAACTGGCAAATTGCAATACGGGGAACCAGGAGTACGTAGAAGACCACTTGGTGTTGCTGTGGATGAGCGTATCTTGGCGGTTTTTGACGATGATCCCACTATAAGCATTAGAAAAGTAGCGACTGAACTCGGCTTTTCTGTATGGAAAGTGTGGTCGGTTCTCCGCAACGATTGCAAGCACCCATTTCCCTCATCCCAGTGCAAGGTACTTATTATTTCTTCTTTTTATAAAATTACTGTTTATCTTGTCCATTATTAATTATTTCGTACATTTTAAAGTGAGTAAAGTAACTTACACAACGGCAAATTTTGCAGCTTTATACTGCACAAAGATGTCGACGATAATTAATTTTTGAAGAGCATTTTATGGACCGACGAGTCAAACACGAGAAGGCATTTTCAATCAACATAATTTACATTATTGGTCAGATAAAGATGAAAATCCACGTAAAACGAGACAAATATCGCATCAGACATGGTTTAGTGTTAACGTGTGGGCAGGTGTGATTGGAAGATATGTAATCGGTCCTCATTATCTAGCTGATAATTTAAACGAAGATAATTATTTACATTTTTTACAAAATTATCTCCAGGAACTAATGAGTGAGGTACCAATAATGAATGAGGATACAAGAATAATATTTCAAAACGATGGCTGACTATCGCAGCAGCGTAAGGGAATATTTAGATGCGGTATTTCCGAACACATGGATAGGGAGACTCGGACCTATCGAATGGCCTGCGAGATCCCCAGATCTGACTCTACTGGATTTTTATGTCAGGGGCCGAGCAAAGGAAATTGTAGGTATACAAAAATGAAATACAAACAAAAGAAGAGTTGATTGGAAAAATAAATGCTGCTTTTCATATTATGAAAGAAGAAATGCGATTAAAAACTACCACGACTAAAATACGTCGAAGATATCGAGCGTGTCTGTATAATGTAGGAGGACATTTTGAACAAAACTTGTAAATTTAGTAAAAAATTACTAGTACTTATTTTTTTATTATTATTAATAAGCAAGACCCTGGTTAGTGTAGTGTAGACACAACCATTAATTTTTTTGTATTAAATGCAATAATAGGTGCTCGTATGAGCTGGTAGCTGTAGCTGACCCGCGGGTCCTAAGCGGCAATTTTTTAATTCCCGCCCTCACATTCAATTATCAATGATTTTGTTAGATAATGTAAAGTTTTATTTGACATGTGATATACCGATAGAAAGAGGGTAAATCAGGGAAGTTTTTAAGGCCATTTGAAATTACTCAATAATTTTTTTTAAATAAACGAATATTAACAATGCTATAAACATTACTAATATTCCCCTTTAACCACTCTTGATAAGCTTAAATTGCTTGTGTTACGAGTGGTTCACGCCAGTAGCTTAATGGCGGATTTGAACCCACGACCTTTTTTTTGAGTTCGCGGTCCGCGTCCTGCCATTAGGCTACTGTCGCTTAATTTATTTATTTTTAAGGGGCTGGAAACTTAGAGGTTTACAATTAATTTTGTTTGTTACTTTAATGTATAGTATTTTTTATGCTTTTTTTTAATCTTTTTTTTTTTGGAAAAATTGGTAGAAGTAGAAATACTAGGTAGAAAACGGAAAATAATAATTTTTTAAATTTTTTAATGGAAGAGACAGAAAAAAATTTACATAGAAAATATACTTCTAATGAACCCATCTATCTCCCATTTCAGTTTGTCGGACCATTCACCAAACATCCTATTTATATATATATATATATATATATATATATATATATATATATATATATATATATATATATATATATATATTTTTTATATGTGTGTGTATAACTTATCTTTATATACTACTGTCATTTTAATGTTTTGATTTTTTTTTCAATAAATTAATTATTCTAAAAATTAGGACTTTCCAGAATTACTAAAACTTTCTAGTTACACTGCATTTTAAGACATCCACACAAATTTAGAAAACATAGAAAATAAAAGAAAAACATACATTAGTCATAATTCTTGTCTTTAATCATCGGAATTTTTACATATCCATATAAAAATAATTTATTTTATTTTTATTACAGAAGCAAAAATAACAAAAGAAACCTTGAAGGTAGAAAATATTCCTTATAATGACAAAGCCGTATCGGATAATCCAAATGGTCCTAGTCCATGTTGTCAAGATCAAGCACGAAATAAATAATGAGTATCTTAGCTATCATTTATATTAGATTTAGACAAGCATGTTTTGTTTTGTATAGTGATATTTAAATGTAATAGTTACAACCTTCTAAATGTAAAAATGTTCTTAATCTTAGTCTTTTATTTTATTCCGCTCGGTACGCATACTCTACGTAGCAAACACAGCTTAAAAGATTACGGCACCCTCTTTCACGCTTGCTGTGAATTTCTACAAGATCAGGATGATTCAGATGGGGATAATCGTGCACTTTCCCTGTTTGACCTTTTGCTGACCTCTCACCCGGAAGGCTATCGGGTCTCCGTCGACCCCTTGTCTCTATACAATTCTGATCCGTTGTACGGTACCACTGATGTGCTCATTGGTATATGTGACCACTAAGGGACCACGCCGATAATTCGCGAAATGAATTGCTAAGGATTTAGTAGTAGGCATAGAACAATTGTAGAACGAATCTTGGAATTTGTAAAAGAATCAAAATGCAGATGCGTTGTCACCACAGAAATCTAAATAGTAAGGCACTAAAAATGCCTTCTACTGTCTTATAATATCGGGACGCGTGTCACCGGTTCGAAGGTATCACACATAGACAAACAATAAATACACAATTACACCTACACCTATCTCTAGCATTCATGCAGCAGTATTAAACTATTGCGTTAAGGAATATTATATAAAAGCGCCAAATCTCAGGAGGCGTAGCCACTCGGTTCAATTATTAAAGTGTGCGAAAAACAGGGAATTACATCGCGGTCACTCTCACTTGGGCATAGTGCAGCGCAACGCACGTTTTCATAACTTTCCATTAAGCGTCGTTGATCGTCCAGGAGTCTCACACCAAGATATAACTAATTAACTGAAAGTGTATCAGTAATAGACGCTTTTTTAGTCTTAACTATTAGACGTTTTATAATTAGAGAAAAGGGGATATAATAAAACGTTAATGATAAGTATATCCATTTATCTTTAATATCCGGATCTTTTGGATACTTATAATAAGTTTCCAAAACCGTTGGTAATAGCGTTTTATTAAATAAACAGATGTATAAATAAAATGAATATAACATTCTACAAACAGCAAACAAATATACCTTAATATACCTCGTATGTATGGGTGATATATTTATCTTTTAATTAGTTCTAAAGATCTGTAACTGACTTTCTGTTTTGTTATTTTTCAGTTACCCGGCTTCTTACAGATCGAATTTAGCCTACTTTCCTTACAATATATTAAAAGTGCATAAAAATTTATCAAGTAATTTAAAAGTGTAAACAAACAGATAATCGCTGATAAACGGTCAACGGTATAAAATATTTAGAAATAAAAAAGTAGAGGTGTAAATAAATATTTAACGAAAAATCATATTTCATTCCCATTTCGGTAAAACTAGATAAGCCAAGCAAATAAATTATCAGTGTAAAATCAGTATCACGTCACTGACTGGCGCTCGACTCCTGCGGCCGTGTTCTTGGAAATTTACGTACGCAACAATATTGTTTATTGCTCGTACTATAAATCCATCGCTGCTTTTAGCTGTCGTACTCGTAGACATGAACTCTTACTTAATAAAAATGAAATCTTAAGAATCAATGGATATTGAAATGTTAAAACAATTACATTTTCGGAGACAATCGTAGTACTGGAGGTGAATAATTTTATTTAAGTATATTTCATTAAAAACAACATTATTTAAAACACTAAGTACTACATACATATATATATATATATATATATATATATATATATATATATATATATATATATATATATATAGGATGTTTGGTGAATGGTCCGACAAACTGAAATGGGAGATAGATGGGTTCATTAGAAGTATATTTTCTATGTAATTTTTTTCTGTCTCTTACCATTTTTATAAAATGAATTTTTAAAAATTATTTGTTATTTATACATATATTAATTTATAGTACTATTTTTTTATTTTCGTTATTAGTGTATAGTAATATGTATATATATAGACACGCACATATAGATAATATATATATATATATATATATATATATATGTATATATTTTCTATGTAAATTTAAGTTTTCTGTCTCTTACCATTTTTATAAAATGAATTTTTAAAAATTATTTGTTATTTTCCCAGTTTTCTACTTCTAGTACCTATTTCTAGTTTTCTACCATTTTTTATTTTTCCTAAGTATAATGATTTGTTTAAATTAAAAAAAAGATTTAACGCACTCCAAAAAGCATAAGAAAAAATACTTACGAGTACATTGCCAAGGTGACAAACGCTAGAAAGATTAATTGTAGATTTCTGTGTTTTCCAGCCCCGGTTAAGAATATTAAATTTAGAATTAAGGCAACAGAGGGAAACAGGCAGGCAACAGAGGGAAGTGGAGATGGGCAGCAGCCTCTTCCTGATAACAGCAATTGTACAATAAAAAACTGCGATTGACAACCCGCGCGCCAAGCGTTGCAACTATGGCAAACATTCACCCATGATCAGTATTACGTTGCGTACCTTATACTCAGAATCACCAAACGGTATTCGCTCCAAAACGGTATGGCCCCAAAGTCTTTGCCAGAGATCTGTCGGACAGAAAAAGCCAACTGTCAAAGCTGAAGACTGAGCGTGGCAGCATCTTTTCCGCGACATCTGAGATTTTGAGTAACATTGAGAGGTTCTATGGGCAGCTATACACGTCATCGTTGAAGGCACATGCAAGTGTGAGTAACGATCCAAGAGCGACACTATCCGATGATATCCCGGACGTCAGTCTGAGCGATATAGGAATGGCTCTCCAGCACCTTAAAAACTGCAAGGCCGCAGATGAGGATGGAATTACAGCGGAGCTTCTGAAAGCGGGTGAAACACCGGTACTTAATGTCCTTCAGAAGCTCTTTAACTCCATCCTCCATAACGGAACTACTCAGGAGGCGTGGAGCAGAAGTGCGGTAGTCTTGTTCTTCAAGAAAGGCTCGCTCGCTTTCTTGAAGAACCACAGACTGATTTCCCTTCTGAGCCTCGTCTACGTGCTGTTTTCGAGAGTCATTACAAATCGCGTCTCGCATGCAGACTCGACGACTTCCAGCCTCCCGAACAAGACGGTTTCCGAAAGGGTTTTAGTACGATAGACCACATACATACCCTTCGACAAGTTGTACAGCAGACCGAAGAGTACAATCTGCCACTTTGCCTTGCGTATGTGGACTATTAGAAAGTCTGATTCCGTAAGCGGTGCTATATCGAAGTGTTTGTACAGTAGGGCTACGATGGGTATCCGAGTATAGAACCAAAGTACGAAACCTATCCGACTGCAGAGAGGTGTAAGACAGGGTGACATTATAACCCCAAAACTTCACCGCTACGTTGGAAGACGTTATTAAGCTACTGGACTGGACAGGATACGGCGTTAACATCAATGACGAGTACACCACTCACCTTCGATTTGCCGATGATATAGTCCTTATAGTAGAATTGCTGGAGGACCTAAGCACTATGCTCTACTAGAGTGACTGACATAACCCAACGGATTAGTAAGCTGAAGTGGCAATGGGCCTGCCATATAGCTCGAAGAACCGACAACCAGTGACGAAGCTAGGGCTCCAAACTAGGGCAAGCCCAAGATATGGTTTCGTGTTTTTAGCAGTTTTATAAAAATACACTAATCTTGATCTGTCTCTACTCTTTAGTTTCATATTCAGTGCTGTCAAGGACGTTATTAACAAAGCACACAGAAGGCATACTACCGCTGATAGATTGTATGACATTGCATTTGCATACTTTCGGTGGCTTTGAAAAGAGCCGTTTGGGTTTGCTTGAGCGAAAGAAAAAGATACAATACAATACATGAACAAAAGAAAAGCATAAACAAAGTACAAACAAACTAAAAAATTAAAAAAAGGGATGTCTGGCAGATGTGAAACATCGAAATTATTTTGTTTAAGTTATATGCATAGAAGAACAGATTACGACAGGAATTAGATATGAGAGAAGATAAAGCTTTGCAAATTTTTTTACCATAAAATAATGACTATTTATAATATAATTATTTATTTTCAATTTTAATAAACCGCACGAAATGATATTTTTAACTCTTAAGGTAATATAAATATTAAATTAGCCGACAGTTGTGCCATCTAGCGTAAACTTTACGTACACCGTGAGAATCAATCAATTTTCGTTCGATAAAATGACTTCACCTATAGAATTAAGAAGATGGCGCTATTAAAATTTTATATACTGAAAGAGTAAAAGAAATATTCTTTAAAAACCTAAATACATCTATTCATTTAATATTACATTAAAATTTGGGCTTCACATTAAAAAAAAAAGATTGTAACAATTATTTCCTATAAAAAACTTATACCTAGGTATCTCATATTTTGTGCTGAAGTTCAAAATGATATTTTAACTCATATGGTAATACAAGTATTGAGTTATTAAACCTTTAAATACGCCTAGAATAATCAAACATTAATACTAAAGAGTCCTGTACCTATTGAAGTATGAAGAAATGTTTATTGAATTAAAATTTCATTTTTAAAGATTTTACTTTTCCTCGCTGATTAGCACTTTAACACACTTATATTCATCACAAGGAACACTAGTATCCTCCCATTTTCACTAAAAATCTTTGAAAAAGCACAAATTTTTAACAGACACATCAAAAACAAACATAAACATTGAAATGTGAAGTGAACTTTCAAACGTATCACCCGTACTTTTTACTTGCTAACGCACTTCTAAACAACTTCAGGGCAAAGCACGGCTTTTGGTTCCATAGTAATTGCTATATAAACATTTCGTAGTTATATTTCATTATTGAACATTTTGCCACATGTTATAAAGGGGGCGATCGTGTTCTCGAAAGGCCGGTAAAAAGCCAACGCGTGCGAGAGAGACGACAAAATCAACACCTTGCGTTCATTAATTTTGACAGTAGGGATGCTCGATGTTACAGAAACATCGATGTTGGCCATTATCGATGTTATAGCACTTGTACCTATTTAGTAGGTTAAAATTAGATGAACA